TATAATAAAGGGCTTGGGGAAAAATAAAACAGACGTTCATCCCTCAAAAAGAAACAACGTAATATTTTTCCCTTCCCCTCTCTCTACAACTGGTTAGAAGTTCTCCATAGAAGAGGAGATTAAAATCTCCCGTCCAACTAGCATTGGTGGAGGTTCGATCTACACTTGTGGACCAATATTAGAGGAGCAACAACTGGGGCTCTAATCTCCGCAAGAAGGTAGAAGAAAGCTTGGGAATTCACGCATCAAAGGTTAATTCTAAACTATTATGTGATCCTTTATTTGTATATGCATGAGATCCTGTTTAGATGCGTATGAATGAGATTCATGAAATTCCTCTTAGAGTACCTAAAACCCTACACTTACTAGTTCTATAATACATTATTGCGTACTTGCGAATATCTTAATCTAGTCATCACGACTACCAAAAATCTTCTTTGTCAATGGATCAAAGTCTTTATTTATTTAAAATTTTGTGGTGGATGCTTTTATTTATTATTTTTATTTGTTCAAAGCCACCATTATTATAAAGTTTAATATGAAGAAATTTATATTCACCTCTACGCGACATCATATATCTAGAGATTCTTTATACTTTGTATGTTCTAGATCAAACAGGGTGAAATTAAAGGTGTCGTTTGGTTCTCATGAATTGTAAATAAATGTGAATTAAATTATATTCCTATAATCAATTCATGTAAATTTTCAAAAAAAATTTGATTAACAATGAGGGAAGTTACTTTTCATTGAAACTTTTACTTGGGAGAATTAGGTAAGTAAATTCCTATATTTTGTGGGAACCCAAAATTCATATAAAGTTCCAATTTCCCTTACTAAACTTTTGTCAACAAAACAATACAAAAAACTTGCAATTCATAGGAAGTCTCACTTCCCTTTTTTTTTTTTTACTCTCAACCAAACTATTGAAGAATAAAACCTTTCAAGTGTCACCACATGTAAGTGTCCCATATTGGTTGAAGAAGAGAGAGTCTCACTTTATAGCCATATGGTTTTGAGGTGGAACCTCCTTGGTCGTATAAAGTGGATAGTTGGGACGGGTGTGGCCCAGACTCGTTTATCACAAACAAGCCCTAAACCCTTAAGGTTTGAACCGACTAATGTTGAAGAATCAATGGATGAGTTGTGGTTGAGGTGAAATGTTACTCGAACCTAGAGCTAGTTGGTTCTCCCGAAAATGCATTAAGGCTCATCAGTTGATTGGATATCTTGGGGTAAAGCACTATATTGGTGTGGGTCAAGAGAGCGTCACCAAATCGACGCCCTGAAAGGTGGTAATGGAGATCGAAAGGGAGTTCATTAATGGAGGTTGAAGAAACTGATGTGAAGAAGTAAAGGGGAAATGAAAGGGATAAACTTCATTAACGGATTACAAGATATTGTTGGATTCGTTAAGTTATGGTGAAATACTGAAATCCAATTTATTAAAATTATTTTGTGTTAAAATGAAAGGTTTTTTTTAAAAAAATTGTTTAATCTATGACATTAATTTTTTTTATATGTCCTATATTTATAATATATTCTTGGTCCGTCGGCTTAACCATAAATTTTTTAGTTTAGTTGGTCGTTTAATATAATGTGGACAAGAAGGTTACAGATTTGAATCTCATCCACCATCCTTTCAAGTAAAATATTTTACAATGGTTTCAAACCTAAAGACTTTCATGTGAAAGGACGTGATAAAATACATTTTTATTGCAAGAGATTATGACAAGTATTGCAAGATATTGTTGATGATATTTGAGGATGTAGGAGTCTCTCTATCTCCCACCCAAGGGTTCGATTCCTCAATCCCCTATTCCCGTGATAGGGTGGTTGGCCCTACCCATATCAGATCATTAGATAGTAGATACGTTGTGACTTGTGAGCGAGGTTTTGATCAGATCAAGTCAGAATTAAATTAATAACGTTATTAGGTTAGATCCCGTGTCATGCACAATGATCTATTGTTATAAACTAAATTAGCCTCGTGCGATGCACGACATAAAAAATTTCTTTGAATAAATATATTTTATATATGTACCTCATATGAGAAAAAAAAATATAGAAACATAACCATTAATTGCAATGGTATTTAGATATAAATAATTTTGAAGATAGTAAAAATTTAACCAAATTATACAATACAGAGTACTCTTAAACCGAGAGTAATTATATTTGGAATCTGGATAGTTATATATATATATATATATATATATATATATATATATATATATAAATCCATAATAATGTAAAAAAAAAAAAACAGAAATAACAAATTATAATAATTGTATTTAAAAAAAATATACTTCGTATATATAATTTAATAATTTAAGGTAAAAAAATAAAAAGGTTTAAAAAATAAGTAAAAATAAAAATAAAAATATGGTGTCAGCAATTGATTTAGGCGGGAAATTTTTTTTACCGCAATTTGATGTCTGTACAATTTAAATAGGGGATGATGTCAGTGGCTGTTACTTTATTTATATTTATAGATTTATTATAGATTATTATACAGACTACTTATACCAATTGAATTAGGTTGAGTCAGCTTAATTTTTCATATCTTTAGGCACAACATGTTTTTTTAGCAATCCAATAGGCCAAATTGATTATCCCATTAATCTGTCATCATGCACTGGCCCCAAGTTGTGATTACCAAAAAGATTCCGGAAAGTCAACAGAACTCAAATTCACGTCGGTAAACCAATTGATTATGTTATTAATGGTAATGATAAACCCATACTAACAATCCCAGCTTATCCCTTAGCTAGCCGAGTATAATTATACAATACTCCGTTTTTGTATTCAAAAACTCTAATCAACACAGATATATGTCTTCATTTTATTACACTTATCTAACCTAAGCAGTGGCGGATCCAGGAATTCTAAATAGGGGTAGCATAGAATAATAAGGGGAAAAAATTAGAAAAAAGTTCTATATTATATATTAGTATTATTGTTTAATAATTAGCCTTTAAATCATTTTGGTAGATAGAGAATATCCATAGAATATTCTCATCTTAGGTTTAGGATATATTTTGTATAAGATTATCTTTGATATCTGTACATATCTTATGTTACCTAATATGATTAGGTTTCTCATTGTAACCCTATAAATATTGATCAATGGAAATCACTCTAATCAAGGAGTTTTACATTATCTGACATGGTATCACAACTTAGGTTAGATCTTGGGATCATATACAAAATATATCCTAAACCTAGGATAAGAATATTCTATGGATATTCTCTATCAGATTCTATTACTTTATAATTTTTATAAATGAGAGTCCTTCAAAAACGAAAACTTATGTACAAATATAAGTAAAAGTAATCAATAATAAAAAAAAATTAAATAAGTAAGAAAATAAAATTAAGATAAGAGACTTGTTTTATGTATAACTGGTCTCTTTTCTTTTAACATGGAAAGTATGATCAATAAAAAGCAGAATCTAAGAGACCTGTTTATATATAACAGATCTCTTTTGTTTTAGTATGTAAAACAGGCGGGTTTGTTGCTACTTTTTATAGCAGCCTCAAAGAGACCAGTTATTTAAGATAACATGTCTCTTTGAACTCTTTTTTTTCCCCAAAATTTTTAGGGGTAGCATGTGCTAACCCTTGTGCCTTAGTGGATCCGCCACTGAACCTAATAAGTGACATGTGCACATGTCTTTTTACATTATTAATTTTTTTTGTTACACTATTTTTCTTTAATTTTTTCATTAAACTTATACTTCATCCATGCATGGTTCACCTTAATCGGCCCTCTTCAATTCAACCTTGTCCTTTTGTCTCTTTAATTTTAGCTCTTCCGCCTTCTTTATTTAATCCTCATATTCAATTAAAGTTCCAAAAATTTAATTAATTTAAACATGTTTCCGACTACACGTTATAATCATAATGACTTATTGATATTTCCTCATCATTTATCTTCCAATGCAATTTTCTATGAATAACTCATGCATTGCATGAGCCAAAAGGCTAGTTATCAATAAATAATAGAATCATTTTGTCTCAATTTTATTTTATTTTTGGACGGGAAAAAGAATAATATTATTAATGAATAGTCATATGACATCCACATGGCTATATGTGTCACAGTCTGTGATATCAGATTCTGCACATGGTCGTGTGGTGATAGATGCGGCTCGTCGCAGACATGCAAAGTATCAAGCTAAGTGTGAAACAATTGGGTGGTATGGTTTATTTTCCTTTCTTCTTTTCTTCATTGAGAGAATTAGAGGTAGTTAACGTTGCTTTGCTTAAGCGGGTATAGAAGTTCTCTCAGGATCACAATATCAGGGCTAGAACATCGGCCCACATATTTGTTATGATTGGTTTTGCTATAGCTAAATGAGTGAGAGCCCAAATTATTTCACGGCTGTTTTTTTTTATTATTTTTTTTTATTAAAGACTTCACGACTACCCATTAATTTTATGTAAAACCTTTTGAGTTTTTATAATAATAATAATAATAAGGAAAAATACACTTTAATAATCTCAACTATAGCACGATTTACTTTTAATAATCCCGACTATGTGTTAGTTTGCCTCTAATAGTTCCATCCAGTCAACACCAAGTCAACGACCTGTTATAACAAGTTACCGTTTGGTCCAATATTAAAAAAAAAAAGGATAACCCCTCCCCCCTTGCTAGGGGCAACCCCACTACCCCCGTCGGCGAATAGAGGACCTACCCGGTGCCGACGATACCCTCCTAAGACAGAGCCCGACCACCAGACCCCTTCCCCTCCCCTAAATCACCTTCCCTTATCCCAACAACACCACCAACGAAGGAACAACAACTACAACAACACCAACACTAAACCACACCAATTACCACCAATTGTGTAGCCTAATAACAAAATTGTATATTAACAGTTTATCAAAGGTTGGGTGTTCTGATACGATTATTTTCAATCTAGTTTAGACTTAATAAGTTCAGTTTAGTTCAGATCCTAATTTCTTTTTCTTTGTAATCAAAACAAGCCTGAAAGTATCAATAGTTCATTACTTTAATTATCCTTTTCCTACAAAACAAACTCACAAACCTCTCTGCTCTTCCTCCATCAATGGCGTCCTCCCTTTTACTATCACTCCCTTTTCTCTCTCCTCATCCTCGAAACCCTAAACCCCCAATTCCCATTTCCAAACCCTTAATTTCTCTCTCCTCTCCCTCAATTCCCCGCAAATTCAGTATCCCAATCCACGTCACCCCAAATCCTCTGCAATTCCGACATCGGAGTCGAAGATTACTTGTCGGGAATTCCATCGGAGAATCCGATGAAGATTCCGATGATATTCTTGTCGGAGAAGATGCCGCTGTTTTCGAGCTGAGCGACCAGAAGCTAACTTCTTGGGTTTACTTCACTGTGATTTTGGGTGTTGTGTTGTTCGCCCTTAATTATCTTTGGATTGATAATTCTACTGGATTTGGCAAGTATCTCATTGATGCTCTTGAGAGTGTCTTCCAAAGCCCTGAGGTGAAAATTTCTTGTCTTTCAACTTATATTAATATCATATCAAGTATTATATATGTCGAATTATTCATTTTAATGTATGATTATGTGATATACTGATATTCATCTTAATGTATAGTTTATTTTAATTATGTAATTGATGAAATTTGATTAATATTGTTGATACTATGTTAGCTAAAAACCAATTAGGAAATATAGGGGAGTTATGCTGAAATGAGGTGAAGTTTTGACAAAATCAATCACGTTATACTGATAAGAGTGTGGTACTGAATGTGTATTTCGCTCTTTGTTACTCGGACTCTTCAGTTTCAGTATTGGAAACGAATCCGGTGCTCTCAATGAATATGTATCAATGATTGTTATTTGTAACAAGTCCGCCAATGTTCGAAGAGTTGGAGTGAAGTTGATGTTGCCTAGGTAATAAAAATTAGGGGAAGTATACGAAGCGTAAGATATAGGAGCATACCTGCAGAACGAACCTTATAGATTTGGGGATTTAAACTGATATTGGTAAAGAGGGGTCCTAGGTAAGCAGTAATGTAGCTCGGCGGTAATATGAAGTTAATATCATAGTGATCGTAAGTCTTTGAGGTATATATTGTGAAAGTTTATTTTCCTGAGAAGGCTGGAGGCAGCATGCCTTTTCGTGTTAATGAGTGTCGTACTTGTGTACCTTGCATTCTAGCTCAATTATAAGTTTATCAAAATTTCAGAACTCTATGACTAATGTAAATGTAGCATGAACTGCTCCACATAGGGAAATCTTCAACAACAGGAAATGTGTTTTCAGTATGATGTATTTAGGGTGTTTGGTCCTGTGATTATACTTGTATATATTTAGTATTTGTTTTATTTGTTTGATATATGTTTATGTTCATGGCACCTTCAAGTCTTCAACCCTTCATTTTGAACATCAAAAGGCCTAATCTTTCAATAATCTTGTACAGGTTGTGCTGCTGAGCCTAATAGTCATATTTGCTTCTGTTCATAGTGGATTGGCTAGTTTTAGGAATGTGGGTGAGAAAATTATAGGGGAACGTGCCTTCCGTGTCCTATTTGCTGGAGTATCGCTTCCATTAGCTGTTAGCACTGTGGTGAGATTTGCCTTTCTATCTTTCTAAAGTGATTTTATTTTCAATTTTATTTTGTCTTTTGCATGTTTCTGTTCTGATGACTCATTTGTGGCGGAAAAAGCTATAGTAATTCTCGCCATCTTAATCTATAATGACATCTTAATTGAATCTCTTTATTAGGTTTATTTCATAAACCACAGATATGACGGGATACAATTATGGCAGCTCCAAAGTGTTCCTGGAGTACATCAGCTTGTGTGGTTATCTTCTTTCATCTCCTTCCTTTTTCTCTATCCTTCAACCTTCAATTTGTTGGAAGTAGCAGCAGTTGACAAGCCCAAATTGCACCTTTGGGAAACAGGAATCATGAGAATTACTCGCCATCCACAGGTGAATATCATCTTTCTCTGATGCTGATGAAGATTATTGTTATTGTTTTTGAAATAACTGTTTGTAATAATGTACTGAATGAAGATGGACTTTCTAAACACTTCTCTCTTTAGAGATGCTACTTTCTAGAATTTAGAGCTTCCTAATGGGATAAAATATCAGGCTATGGTCTATTATTTTTACTGCATGTCTGTTTTTATCATCATGCCATTAAGATGGTGCTCAGGAAAATTGACAAGAGTTCCTGAAATTTTGGAACCATATCATCTCTATTTCATTGTATACATGTCAAAATAAATATATTTATTACCAAACTTTGTTTTCAACCTGGTCATATATGAAGGGGTGCATGCCATGGCAGGAGAAGGTACATCAATAGGTGCCATCCCTCTGTGGATGCTTTAAAAACTCCTCTTTATATGTTTACTACCCTCTTCTCGTATAAATCTAAATTTAAACCAATCATGCAAGTCTTAAACTTTCTCTTTTCATTTACTAATATCGACATCTTGTGCCCCTTTTCATCTGAATATATTGGTTGCTTATGAGCTTGAAAGGGACTGACTAGTCTGTTTTATATGTAGATGGTTGGACAGGCAATCTGGTGTCTGGCTCACACTGTTTGGATTGGGAACTCTGTGGCAGTTGCTGCCTCCATTGGCTTGATTGGACATCATTTATTTGGCGTTTGGAATGGGGATAGAAGGTTATCTTTACGTTACGGGGATGCTTTTGAGATTGTGAAGAAACAAACAAGTGTAATTCCATTTGCTGCTATAATTGATGGACGTCAAAGGCTGCCAAAAGATTACTACAAAGAATTTATTCGGTTGCCATATATAGCAGTGACTGTTGTCACCCTGGGTGCTTATTTTGCTCACCCACTTATGCAGTCAGCCAGTTTTCGACTTCACTGGTAGGAATTACTGGGTAATTTTCAATGAACAGGTGAGTAGGTGGCAATACTTGGTGTGATCATTGACCAGACAAGCATGTTAAGAGAGAGAGAGACACCATCTTTCTTGGGCTCAAACAGAGTATTGCAGGATGTTTCTTTGGGTAAATTGCTTGCTTGCACTAAAGAGAAATGTCGAAGACTTGTCTGAGGAGAACTGGATATGATATTTCACAATTTTTGAAAGGATGATGCAGCAACTGTTTGCCTTCCATTGCAGCTTAAGGTGGTGCGTCCCTGATTCCCGTTAATTTTCAATTGCCACAGAGAAAAATTGTGCATCGTTAACATTGTATTTAATTGGATCTTGATTTGTAATTTCTAGATAAAATAGTTGCAATTTTCACTAAAAAAGAAAGTTGTGATTTCAGTATATGATCCTAGTTTGTATAATTAATAGCCGAGGAAAGAAATAATAAAAAAAAAAAAAATCATTAATTTTGGTGTTTGAAGTCTCTTCTTCTATGTGTTTCGAAAAATTGACATGTGGTCTAATATTTTCTATATAGTAGCTGTTTCTTCTTATACTGGGAACTGTAGAACAAATGCAATTAGCTTGTTGATGGTTATCTGGGAAAGTTGGGACAGCGTGGTTGCAGAGTTTATCACTCTACTGTTGAATATTTATCACCCTGCCGTCTTTGTGTATCTGTGAGACCAGATCAGCTAGCCATGTTGCCCATATATACACAGTGCAGGGCTAGGTTGCAGAGTTTTTTCTTTTTTTCTTGATGTTTTCTGCCATATTTGTTCCGATCAGGTTGATTGGTTAAACCACAGTATACAATTATTTTGAGCAAGGCACTTTAACGTCAGTTAAGGGCTACTCAAGATTAATTCACAAAAAAATAAATTAAAGGTTACATAAGGGCCAATAAGTTCTATTTTAGAGACCTGTAAAGAAAAAAAAAAAGGTTCTATTTTAGGGAAAATTTTTCATATATGGCTTTCCTGTGAATTTAACACTACAATTTAATTGTTGCTTATTTTGTGGTAGAAGCTTGATAAGATACCTGCCTGATAAATGTATTCTATCATTGTTATGATAAAATTGAAAATTTCAGTGAATTGCATCTCTATGTTCAACAGTCACAAGGCTCTCCTAGCAGTAAGCGGCTCTATTATTCCACTTTATATTCAGAAGTCACAAGGCCTCCTAGCTGTAAGACTGTAAGTATCTCTTCTATTTCAACAAGTATTACTATTAAACATAGGTATTCTGTAATCTGTATAGAATGTAGTAAATGATACAAGTGTTACAACTATCTTCAACACCCTCTGTTCTTGTCATCTGAGATGTTTAGAGGCATGTATGAGATTCCCAAAATAGAATATGAGAGCATCCTCAACTTGAAGGAGTAGCTGTTGTGATTTTTTTGATGAGTGACTTTGAAGATGACATAGTTCCAGTTAAACTAATAACGAACCCAATCATGATGATAATCACATTGAAGAGCAAGTGAGGTTTGGAAATTTCAGCTAGATAAATTTTGGAATAGAAGATGCATGGTATTATGATAGATATACTGACACTGATAAGAGAGCCAGTTAGATTGAGAACATATTGGAAGTATGGCACAGAAAGAGCGAGGGCTAGTATAGCTATAAGAAGGATTGAGCCTATACTACCCCTTATAATTTTCCTTGTCCTTGAACTTGTGAAAGAAGGAAGATTGTGCTCAAGTTGGATTGCAAGTGGGGCAAACTTCAGTGCATATTTGGTCATAGGTGTTAACACTGTTGCCCACAAGGCAATTTTTGTGGCAATGCTATCTTGTGGCATGCTGAGGGTGATTTGAGAGTTTATGTTGGGGCCAAACATTTTTGCTCCCATGAAAGCCAAGGATGTGTAAAGCGCCGTGATTGTAGTGAAGCTCAATACAGTAACCTGAAAAAGAACCAGAGTGCAGGAAAGATCAGTTTGCCAAAAAGATTAAAAAATAGCTACCTTTCAACTTTCTTCTTTTATTCAATTATTAAAATTACTTGTTACACAGAGGGTGCTGGGAGAGGGGTGGGGGGGGGGGGGGGGGGGGGGGGGGGGGGGGGGGTGGGGAGGAGACCAAACACAGGCCAGCCTATCTTAGACTCCCACACAGGATAGATTGTGCACAACAATTATGAATGGACCTCTTGGCGTCCTTGACTTTTATGCTGACACTTAGCCCTTGTTCACTTCTTCTAATGTTTACTTAATTACATGTATCAATAAACTGATTTTTTCAAAAATATTATATTTCAAAGATGAAAAGAACATGGCCTAAGGAGGTAAACCCAACCGAAAATATGCAAACCTCTGTATGCTCATGTTGGCACTGTGGTAGAAGCTATTGGGTAGGTATAATAGTTAATTTCTGGTCATACTGCAGCCATCTTATTGTACTTTCAATGGAAATGACTGGAAGTTACCTTTGGATACTTGGAGGGATCTTTCATGGATGTGTATATGTTGGGAAAAAACAGTATGTCCTGCATAACTATAGGCATAAAGTCCAGTTACATGAGGAATTTTGTTTAGGTGCAGCACTGGTATGTTATGGTTTGCATTCACCACCCCAAACATTGCTGTACCTGTCACTGTCAGAAAAATGAGCATTGACATGATAATTCCACCTGCTGATAGAAAAGCTATAGAAGTAAAGTCTCCGAGCCATAGGCTAGGAAGTGCCACCAAAATTGCTGCTGTCGTTAGTAGCGTTGATTTTTCGATCAAGGGTACCTTGATAGGAATTCCTTTAATGACCATGTTTAAGTTATCATGAAGTGAAATTGTGTAGGATACAAGGCCCATGAAAATATCCTTGTAGATAAGTATTGTAGCTATGATTTTTCCTTTTGTCCCGAATGCTTGCCATCCAATGTCATTATAGCTTCTTAACTCGGGATTTTTGTGGAGGCATTTACCAAGTAGGCAAGCACTATAGGCACATATCATTCCGAGTCCTACAAGTAAGAATGCAGAAACCCACCCTCCGTTTTCCAGGCCGTATGATGTAGATAACTGCCCTAGACCTGCAAAAATGTTGATACAAGGGAAATAAGTCATTCTTGAATGAGTAACTGTTTGTGCTTTGATAATTTGTAGTTTAATTTACAGAAGTTACATTAGAAATTTTCAGGATTGATAATCTTTTCTGTTGTTTGGTGACAAACACGTTCTGGAAAGTTTGAATTTCAGGGAGAAATCGCTTACCAATATACCAAGTTCCTCTTAGGTGATTGGAACTCCCCTCAGGAAGTAAGGTAGTTCTACACAACCTTAAGTGCAACCAAACAATTTTGACTATTTCATGGAAAATCAAACTTTCTATGTTTAGGCTTTGTTTGGTAAAGAGCTTGTTGGAGAGCTTTGAGCTTATTGAGGCCTATTAGAGATTTGACCATTCTGATTAAGTTTATTTGGGGGTTTGGAAACAACTTTGAAAGAGGGTTTTTTGAAATAGCTCAATATTAAGCTTTTTGGCTGTTGAATACATGGAAATAACTATTAATTAACCAACTAAGAGCTATTTACCAAACACTTTTTGAGAGTTAGCTAATTAGAACCAGCTAATACAACTAGTTAGTCAAAACAGCTGATACAACTAGTTAGTCAAACCAATACAACCAAGTATATTAATCAGCTACCAGCTAATTGCCAAACAGGGAGTCAAACAACTACTTAGATTACGCAATTAATTCCCAATTAAAAAATTGGAAAAAGGAGGTGGCTAATGATTTTACAGCTTTTTACCTATAACCATCCCAGTCATATTGATGACAGAGTGAGTGAAAGAGCTACTGGGCTTGGCTGGTTGCTTTATGTCTATACATTCTTTATTTTCTGTTTTGGACTTCCTCTCTATGTGCTCACATTCGCTCAATTTATTATTTTCCTCAAAACACAACCCACAACTCTCATATTCTATGCTAAATGTATCATTAGGCCCCATCTTGTTTACTTGACTTCTTTGTAGCTTACTATATGACAGATCTGACTCAGGTTCTATGCTTAATGTATCATCAGACCCCATCTTGTTTACTACTTGACTCTTTTAGCTTATTGTTCAACTCAGGGGAAGCTTGTTTCTGTGTAGGTTTCTGGCTATTGCCTGAAGTGATAATATGTGATAAATGGGACTTATATGACCTAGGAATTTTAGTTTTGTGAGATTATAAGAGGAAAGAGGTAGAGGCCTATATATAGCTGAACAGGTTTGTATTTCAGGAACACGTGGTCCAGAAATAAATTTAAGTTTCTGAGTGTGCTGTGTGCCTTGGATAAGGTGAGAACGAAAACGACGGTTGTCTGGATAGTGTTCTTTTCCTCGTTTGTAAATATTACACCATGAATATGAATAATAAGATCTATGATGTACAAGACAGCTGGTTTTGGGTCCAATGAGTCCCCCAGACTTATAATTGAGAATCTGAAAAATAAGTGGTGTGAACAGATGTACAATGCGTTTGACCCCTACTAGCTGAGCTGATTATACTGGAAAATAAGTGGTGAGAACAGTTGCACCAAAGTTTCTGATACAGCAATACTGTGGTTAACTAACCTTGTTTGAAGCACTTGAAGTTACGTTACAAAGTTTGATTGTTATGATGAAGCGGACCTCAATTGCTCTAAAATTCGGTTAATATGTTTTCTTTCTGATGCATTGTTTGGTTAATTATGTCAATGTTAGTTATTCATTGGTGCAGGATGACAGTGATGTTGTCTGATCTGATAATGACTTGATTGGTATGAGAATACTACCACGTTGGGAAGTTGTCAAAATGGAATAATGGATCTGCATTCAGCAAATTAGAGTCTGGCCAACTTGGTTAATAAAATTGTGTACAAGGGAGGAATACAAATGAGGGAAAAACTTTTTTGCACATGAGTTCGCCCTTTCAGTTTATGCATAACATAACACAATATACAGGTTTTTTTTTCAGGTTTCCTGGCTGATTGATTTTCTTTGAAGAATCCGGTCAGGAACTGGCGCTAAATGAATCACGTCACGGCTCCTATTCTGTCCGCGCACATCATTGTACCGACTTGATCCTGAAAATTAGTTGCTGATAGAGAATGTATGGTCTTAAACTCTAGCTAGTTTGTGTTAAGATAAGGTTATCACATGGTTTCCTGATTGAGAAATGCTCTAAATGAATATCTTTCAGAAAGTGTGCTGTGTAATAATCTTAATATAGAGCAATATGAAAATATCTGAATTCTGGAACAAGCTAATTGAGTATGACTGGTAAGTGCCTAAGTGGTATGTGAACTTGGGAAGTACCTTGTTTTAGTCTATTTGTGTTGAATGGGATTCAAAATTTTTCATATGTAGCATTTCCGAGGTACTGGTTAATAAGACAGTAGCTCTTTTTTTTTTTTTTTTTTTTTTTTTTTTTTAACAAATTGGCTTATGCTAAAACATTTCCAATGTGTAATGTATTGTAATTAATCTTGCCACATTAATTTTTTAATCTACGTTGTATAATCCTATTTCTAGCTACAAAATATTCCAATGGATTCTTACAGGGCCTAAAACATGTTGTATAATCCTATTTCTAGCTACAAAATATTCCAATGGATTCTTACAGGGCCTAAAACATATTTTACGGTACATATCCATCACCAATGGATTCTTGATAGATTGAAGCTTGCCTTTTCACACTTACAAATGTAAATTCTTAATAGATTGGAGCTTGCCTTTTCTTTTCTTTGATCAATCTTTTAGCTTGTTCAATCATTATATTATTATATTTTTTCCCTATCACAGAAATGGGGGGATGAGGATTGAACCCCAACCACTTGAGGATCCCTCCGTCTTCCAAATAATACAATCTATCGCATTGCCTAGGCCACACAATTCATCATTTATTTTAAATGACATGGAAAGGTGGAAACATAATGACAATTATATTAGGGCAGAAAGGTAAAGTATAAAATTTCACTCCTAAAGTTGGGATTTGCTTATTTTAAAGTACTGTACATACTACAAGCAGCACAAGCTCTATCACCTTTGAAACAACGGATCATAATTAGCATGTCGTATAATCAGTTTCAATTCGTACAACCTGAACTCCAGGATAACTAAGTACTCCGTACTTATATGTTCTTATACTCTCAGTACTAATACAATAGGTAAACAAAATTGATTTAAAAGTATATAGCTTAGACAAAATACATAGAACTATATTTGATCTACTGTAAGTGTGATTAATCTATTCATCACCAAATTAGACTCCAATTATAATCTACAAAAATGTGTCTACTTTGAACTCGAAACTGTACCAGTCCATGGCTACATCGAACCACATATATCAGACTGGATTTCCTTAAAACGACCCTGAAGTTTAGCTGGCAATGCAGGATCCCGCCATTCCAAACCATCCCACCAGCTAGTCTCAGCTTTGATCTCCTTTATGGTGGCCTCAACAGAAGATTTTAGATCAAGATTCTTCATTCTAGGACAATTGTAGATACTGATATACTCTAAGCAGGGTATACCGCCACCATTCCAAATGCTTACCAGTTTGGGAAGATAATGAAGTTTCAGTACCTTTAACCTAAGCTCTGCAGAAACAGGAGGGTCAACCTCCATTTGGTCTTTTCCAACATCTTCAATGGAATTGACATCGGTAACAGTAAGCTCACAAAAATCACTGTCACCAATATTGTCATCTACAGAACTCTGATCCTGGTTGCTAATGACATTTTTCAAAGACTGACAGTCCTCAACAATCAGCTCCTCCAAGTTGGACAGAACAGCCACCATGGAACGACACAGAATAAATTCCAGTTTTGGGCAAGAATGCACTGATAGTCGCCTAAGCCTTGAGAGACTTCCAGCTCGAATGGGACCCGCCCAAATCCAGGTCAGGTTCCAGGAATAGTGGATGCTCAAGAGCTCTAAAAACGGAAAGAAATTGCCTGTCCGTTTTGTGCTGCTTATTATTGCTTTTAGTTTTGGGCAATCCCTCACAACACAGATCTTTAGATCATTGATAGTAGCCCGTCCGAATTGTGTCAAGGACTGAGCAGTGAGGTGATGATCTACATAAAATGCTGTAGCTTGAGAAAGCACTTTACCAACTGCATCAGGCATACCTTCACCATTAACAAACCTCAAGCACCGATCATGCTGACAATACTCATGTTCAAGGTCATCAGAAACATGAGAGACAACACGCTTGACATCATGGCCCACAACAAACTTGAAATGGGTCAAAGTTTGGTGTAACCAAGCTGGACTCGCATCAATGAAATACTCAAGATTTTTTAGTTCAGGAAAGTGGAAAGATAGGGAGCATAATTTTAAGTTGCTCACTTCAGTTGTTACATCTGATGCAACCTTAGTCCATCGTGGATCTCCAGGATATACATTAATGCTGAGCTCCTTTAGCTGAACAAGGCTGGAAATTATTCCCTTTGAGATCAACTGTGGTGGCAGCATGGCACATTCATCCTCATCCATGGATCCATAAAAGCAGACTTGCAAGTGAACTAAACAAAGCAACTCACATATTTGATCAGGCAGCTGGCATATTTCTGTACCATGAACATCAAGAACCAAGAGGTGTTTCAGAGCCCCAATTGTAGGAGGGAGAAAAAACAAACGTTGACAGTTCCGGAGAATCAATACCTGTAAGCATTCAAGTTTTGTGAGGGACTGTGGTAAAGATTTTATTCTGGTTTTGGACAGGTTTAGAATTTGGAGAGAAGACATGTTATCGAAGAAAGATGAAGGTATGACTCTTAAACAGCTATTTCTTTGGAGGAATAATGCTAATAATTTTGAGCAGGCTGGCCTTTTTGGTAGACTTGAAAGTGTATTATCCATCAAAAAGACCATTTTTGCTTCTTCCCATTCTTCCTCTGATGGTGGTTCACTGAGATCATCACCTGCTTTCAATATGGAAAGGTGACCTTCTGGTTGCTCAAATGTGGGATTGCTTATGTGAGACAAAAGAGTTTTCTGTGACAGTATAGACCTAAAATAACGAATCAAAAACATTTGTAACCCTTTTGCATCAGAGAGAATTACTAATGCCAAATCACGTAAAAAACCATGCATCTCAACCATCAAACCATCATCAGTGCACTGCAATAAAGAGACGTCAATGAGATATTTAATAATATCATGTCCTCTTCTATGTGCATCTGACATACTCCCAGAAACAATGCCTTCATCCACCAAGTACCCTACAAGAGAAGAAATACTAACTGCTTTTCTTTCTGTGAATAAAGCATGATAGAGAAAGGAACTTCTAATATCATGTTCTTTGAGCCTATCATATCCAATTTTAAGTACCTGAAGGCAATTAGTCAATAATATATTCTTTACTGTACTCTTCCATGCATATATACTGCTATCCATTCTCAAGGCACTGCCAGCAACTTTTATTGCCAAAGGCAAACCAGAACACTCGTCAACAATTGCACGACCATAAGGCTCAATATCTTCAGAATCCATGACATTACCCACATGAAAACGGAACAATTGTAGTGATTCTTTCCTAGATAAAACCTGAGCTTCAATGGTTCTATCCACTTCCATTGCTTCACAGATATGGATTGATCTGGTTGTCAATATTATCATATAGTCATTATCTAGATTGCCGATAGGAATTCCCACCATTGGCAGATCAATGTACTCCCATACATCATCTAGAAACAAAATGAACTTCCTTGCTAAAAGAATCTGCAGAAGGATCATAGCTACTTCATCATCAGACTTTATATTTGGCACATTCAAAGATAGCTGCTGAATTAATGAATTCTGTATCTGTCTTCGGGAAGAGCATCTTGGTATAGTTACCCAAAGAACCAAGTCAAATGATCTCTTTACATCATACCGTGAAAGAAAGGCTTTCATCAATGTGGTTTTCCCTATACCACCAGCTCCATATATTCCAATCTTCTTCACTTCTACATCCTGAAAAGCAGATAATAATCTCTGCAGACTGCGATCAGTTGATCTACTATACTTCGCTGTTGGCCAAGAATTGAAGCCCAAATTTACAACATTTCTCAAGCGACAATGAGTCAAACTGGTTTCGATTTCTCCCTCTTTCGTTGTTTTGTCATTTGCACTAAACGTCGAGTCGACATTGTGAATCGTTGGTATGATGGATTCATCTTGTCTTATTTGACTAGTAACATCAGCATTATGAATCGTTGATATGATGGATTCATCTAGTCTTATTTGACTAGTTACATCAGCATTATGATTTTGAGAACATTTTGCATAGGTTTCCCTCTCGCTGTCAGGAGTATTGGTGCCTTTTGAACCAAAAAATGGAATTCCTGTGATAGTAAATGACTCTGTTCCTGTCAATACAGTTGGAGCTTCCAGTGCCCTACAATCATCCACGCCAAAGGATATCTTGAAAGATTGTGAGTCTGAGGCCCCACTGGTGCTTCCTGCTACAAAAGCTAAAAATGAGTATATCAATATGCATAATTTAACCTGTATTTACAAAAATAACATAGCACCATAAGTCCACAATCATGATATAAAATTGATAGTTAGTATGCTAGTTTACATTATTTGTTGAACAGGAAATTAAATTTGCAAAATACTCCGTGACAGAACAACAAACTTTTAAAATCATGGATCATGTTGATTACAATAAAGTACTCCGTAGAAGAAAAGATATGCTGATTTCTCCGTGCACTTGTCATTTGGAAGGTAGAATAAGTATATTAAAGCTTAAAGGTAGCCTAGCTAGAGAAGGAATAAATTAAGTACAAGAATATGAATGAGTGCATTAGATGTCAAGAGTATTGTTAAGATGTCCAGTACTTTAGGAGTTTAGGATGGTGACATTGACAGCATCTGGAAAAGGAAAAAAAAAACTTTCCCCTATCTTCATTGTCAACTGAATAACTAAAGGCTTCAAAGCAAGTGAAATCTTTTAGGCTCGCGCATTTTGAATAAAGTATGTACAACAAATCAATAAATTACTAATGGCCCGTTTGGTATCCGGTTATAAATGGTGGCAATGGGAATGAATTTTAGGTGTAAACTAGGTACGAATTTTACATTGTAATCCCCATAAAAATGCAATTTCATCCTTAAGCATGTGTCTTCTTTATATTTTTTCATTACCATCCATTACCACTAGAGAGGAGGTATTAGGTGGGAATGGAAATTGATAAAGAGAAATGGACAATTTGGGGTGAGCTAGCATTGCCATGGGATTGAACCACGATTTTCCTTACAAATTCACATACAAGCTCATTCCCATTACTATCATTTATAGCCACCTAGCAAGTGGGCCGTAAAAGCTTCACAGACGAACAAAAGGTGCTGTCACGCTGTCACACACATCAAAACTTAGTTCAACTACAGAATTTTGTTCAAAAACAATCACACACATTGACACTTAATTCAAGAACAATCTTAGTTATGTGTTTGTTTGGACCATAATAACTTGTAGAGTGACAACATTGCAAACATGAGCAAAAGAATTCTTTATGTCATAGAAGACGGTTTTAAACACCAAATGTGCACATCCTCATCCTTAATTAGCGTAAACTTCCTTATGTATGCTTAATGAGTGGGGAGAAAAACTTCTTGATACCTGTCTTTTCTCCACCCAGTGCCCATTCTCTGTCCCTTTCCATCCAAGGCTCAAGGTATACATATATAAACCATAGAGCATAAAACATGATTTAGTTCTGTTTTAATCTGACAGTTTCTAGATGTCATTGGTTGATCAGACAAGATAATGGGCAATTCCAATGAAGAGTCAGGCATTAAGATGGGACCTAGTTGCTGGAAATTAGTTGTTGAGAATTGAAAGAAGTTGAGGTACAAAATCTGAAACAGAGATTGTTATAGCATTTTTTTTTGAAATACTTTAAACAGATCAAACAAAGTGACCACTGATGTGAATTTACAAAGTAAACATAAAAGTGAAATCTTACGTATAATCCTCGCTCCATTAGAGCAAGTATGAAGACCCTTATAGGAGATTTGGTAAGCATCGCCTTCATCAATCCTCTGCACCTTTTTCACAGCTGCACAACCTTCTTCCTTATATGTACATCTGAAATAGCTCCTGTTGAATAAATTATACCATTAATCATATGCAAACTTGTGCAAGTTGGTACTATAGAACAACACACAGCCAACGTATTCATTGATGCCAACACAAATGACTAGGGGTAACAGCAGACAAACGAAGCATGATCAGAACAAAATTTAGGGCATGCTTGAATTGGAGGTAACAACAGACAAATTATGGTAGAAAAAGGTGGATGGGGGTGGTGCCATGGGAATATGGGATGATCTAATGGTGGTGCAAAGAGGAGGGGAGTATAGGGAAATTACCCTCATTTTGGTGTAAAGTTGAGGGAGAAGTAGGAAGTTCTTGTCTTCATTTCGGATGGAATAACTTGATTAGTACCCATCATCCACATAGGGTAACTTTCACCCTCAAAGTGCAGGTAATTATAACACCATTTCTCCCTCTTTTTCACATCACCGGCTTCTCTTCCCTTTTACCATCACCTTTTCTTGCCTTCATGCTCCTTCACTTTTTTATTTTCCTCTTATTACCCCCTTCCCCTCTTCCCGTGAATGAGTAAGACTTAAGAAAAGGTTTTCTTCATTTTACCATCACATTTCTTATTACCCCTAACTACTAGAAATTGTTTACTTATTACAATCTAACAAGTATTATATATTGAGGAAAATTTAACAAGAGCCAACATGATGACATTTGGTTTACTTATTACAATCAAAATTCAGTCCAGGAACAGAAAGAGAAGAAGTTTTTCATACTTTCTCTATTCTTAAAGGTTGTAGGGGAAAAACTTTGGAATTTAGGAGATTCATGTGTTTGGAAAGAGAATAAACGAAATGAAATAGTTAGTCCACGATAAAAGGAGAGATAAAGAGAAATAAATGGCCAAAAATATGATAATGTCGAAGCAGATGGCCAAAAATATGGTAATGTCAAAGCGGATAGTATTTAAAACATAATGAAATGAAATTTTTGCAACAATTGAGGGAGAAAGCAATGCATATTATAGCACAATAGTACACATGGAGTTATGATAACTATTATATGGGAGTAATCAATGTCATTACATGATACGGAACAAAATTGAACCTTTTGATCACTTAATAAAACCAATAGGATAAATTTACTAATACATGAGAGATGTGCAATCAAATAGCAAAAGGTATTACACGAAACTTTAGGAAGTATAAAGAAGACAGTACATCTTATCAAAAATCACTTCTTTTTTTAATATACAAGTTTAACCAGGATTCATACCGTGGATACTTTGATCCTAATATCTCTTTTTGCCCGTATTTTCTCCAAGAATATCCATCATCTGTAAGTTCTTGAACAACAACCCTAAGAGCCAAAAGATGTCAAAGTTTAAACACATATTTTCTGCAAGGTATAACTCAACACATTATTTTTTATTTGTAACCCTTTTTTCTCCTCCGACTTTCTCACGAAAAACAAAATAATAAACATAATTAAATTATGGCAAATTTTTTTCGGTACATAGTTTTTTGTGAGCTTGCTCGAAAAGTGTCACCTTCTTAACAGATAAAATAGCCAATATAGCATATAGAAGATATTACATATTCCATAATTCCAAGTCAACTTTTTTTTTTTTTTTTTTTTAAATGAAGGTCATATTGATTTAAGTTTTTCTCAACTACAAGAAAATAATCGCAATTATGAATGTATTTTTACAGGGGATATATTCCAAGGGAAAATAAACACTATGTTATGTACAAAAGTTAACATGTTACTCTACAGGGATACTGAAATGGAAATCTATGACTCTATGAGTAATCGACTTATCTACGATTAAGTTGAACCTTTATATAAGTCAATAGCATGGATAGATCCCGAACAGATTTAATTATGATTCAACCCTATTAAGATTGGATACATTATAGTAAGAATTGAATGTGTCTAAATTCATAACAAAAATTGACTCTTTATTGACACATGAACCCTAATGAAAACAAAAAATTGCTCTCATGATAATTTATTTACGAAAAGTCTTTGTATTGCATGATTAAATTCGACCAACTTAAAATTCATAGTTCATAACAAATAGCAGTACTCACTCCAAACCTTCCCAACATACAGTTGTTTCCATCTACGATAAACACTAAACACTTGGCAATATTAAAACCCGTTTGTTCGCAAATACAGGTTAATTGTAACTTACATAACAAACAACGAAACAAGTCAACCAACAACAACAACAACAACAACTAACAAGAAAATTAACAAAAAATAATAAATTGAAAATGGTAGCAAAAAATAATCAATTGAAAATGGAATAGAATCTTACTCAGTTGATTGTATATTGCTTCTCTTACGTTTAATTGGGAAATGTGAGTCTTGCTTCCATACTTGCTCATACGATTTCCTGCATAAACAAAACCAAAAATCAAATAAATGCTTAAGTATATAATCAGTAATTAACAACAAAATTACAAAAAATATTGTAGATTAATTATTGAAAAAGCACATTTAGAAATACAAATTGGTTGTAAATTAGAACCTAATTCCAGAAACATCTTTCTCCTTGCTACTGATCTTCATCTACTCCATAAAAAGTTAAGGATCTAAAAAAGGAAAGCTTCGTAAGGTTAGAGAACGGGCCAGAAGCGGGCTGCAATGAGCCCGGTTGTGAAGATGATGTGGGCCCGTTGGGGAAGTAGGTGGTCAAGGAGAAGGTGTGAAGTGGTAATGGCCAAAAGAGGGAAGAAATTAAAATAGAGAGCAAAACATAAGTTGACTTAATAGCTCGGCACACGGTTTTCGGGAGCTACTCCCCTCTCTTTAATCATTATGATTGACACGCTTTGACTTTTATTATAAACTGTAATTATCACAATATATGAAGTACTTAATTAGTATATATTTCTTTCATTTTACATGTTTAGAAAACCAAAGAAGTATCACGAAGTAGGAAAGATTATAAAATTGGATAATTTGATAACATAGATCATAGTAGCAATAAAGATGGTCAAAGTGATGATAAAAGTCAAAGCGTGTCAATTATAATGCAACAAATTCTATAACCTTCGTTCTTCATTCTTGTTTATAGTTTCTAATTGTTTAACCATGAAAGTTGGATTGAAATGACTATTCGAGACTCGTCAAATTTGAATCCCCTCCAAAAAATTGCAAAACCTTCCTCATACTTATAAAGATGGTGTCTCGCGTGTCTTAGGCTTAGTTACTCCTGACTCACTGCACGAATGTGCCTTCTTGTTGTATATCGTATCAAAATTTTAAAAGTGTTACTACAATATAAGCCACGTTTCTACAAAGTTGAAATTACTACAAAGTATATTTTAGTGTGCTTTTCCAAAAGAAACATGTCTAGGCCTAACACGTACAAAAGTATGTCTTACCATACCGAACTTGTGCGATACAATGTCCTAATTTTTCAGTGCTAGGTCATGACAAGCGTGAGCCAATCTGACCCATGATCGTCTTGCTTTAAAATATTGCAAATTTTTCTTTGTATTTTTTCGAAGACGCTATATAGTGTCCCCTTAGTCTCCAAAAAGTCCTTGTTACATTATCGGCCAACACATACAAATACTAAATGAATTAATTATATAAATGACATTAAACTAGAAAAATGATTTTTCTTTTAAAAGTAAAACTAAAGGAAATCAATTAATTATTTAGACGCGAATTTTTTTTCACCGTGTTTCTATGTGGCTAATTTACATACACTAAAACACTTATTGGGTAACCCTAATCGAGTAACTTACCCTAACCTACCGAGTAACCTTAATCAAGCTATGACTGATCGAGTAACCTTTGACCAAATAACTCCTTACCGAGTAACCACTAACCAAGTAATTCCGGTCATACCGTGTGACTAGCCACTAAGTTGCATATAAAATTTTGTGTTTTTTTCTTAATTATTATTTTTTTTAATTTTTTAAAAAACAAATAATTTAGGCAAATATTTAACTCAAAACATAAAATTACATTTTTTTTTAATTCCTTTTTTTAAATACAGTATAGTTCTAATTTTTGAGCCAAGTTCGAGTCAAGGAATAATTTTTAACCATGGCGGTCGATGGAAGCAGTGGCGGATCTAGGAATTTTCGTCCGGTGAGTCAAAATTGATAATAAAACATGTAATAAATTTTTTTTACCAAACAATCAAATAATAATACTAAAAATACAACCAAATATTCAAAAAGTATAAAATACAACCAAGTGTTCAAATAAATTTATTTTTGGGTAGACTAGTGAGTGATATGACTCACCAGGACAACATCCAAATCCGCCCGTGGGTGTGTATTAGCCCGTAAGCTATGAACCAAAATTTATTAAATAAGCCGTGAAATTTAAATGAAAACTATGAACTTACATTTATTAATATATAATCCATGAAAATTAAAAAGAAAAAAAAAACACATGGTGAAGACACTTCACGTTGAAAAGCCTGAACTTCCAATGACTAGTCCTTTCCAAATGTGAAAGCTTTCTAAATATAAATTTTAAGCTTTTCCTCCCATACTTGAAGCATTATCCTGCTTCCCTCCCTTATAACCAACCAAACCCTTATTATCTTTTCCAAAGCTGGCCGTGTATCCCCATCAAGGCCATCAACCTTCCTATTCCAACGCTTCTATAATTCCCCATCAAGGTTATGACACTAGACCTCACCTACATCCGGGGCTCAATGGCAGCCATCCTTTTGAGTCCTCCAAGACTCAACTTGCCCCCAAAACATCTACTTCCATTTCCGTCAGTTTCGTAACCCGGTCTAACGCCGATAGGGTTCTTCTCTTTACAGAAGCACGAGAGGAAAGCTTTCATGACTGTCTTCCTCTTTTTCTTTCATTGTGACTACTGGCATCTTGGACCGTCCGAAAGGGTGATGGTTTTTTTTTTAAAAATAAATTGATTTTTTTTTTGCCTCACTGGTGAGTCATATGACTCACCATGACATTAACTAGGTCCGCCAATGGATGGAAGGCGACTAAAATCTTGCTGTTGAGCTTGTAGTTGACTTCTTCGAGGAGAGAGAGAGAGAGCTTCTGGATCTCAATTTTTTGCTTCACTTTACTGGTATTCTTGCTTCTCCCATTTTTTTTTTCCTGATTAAATTTCAATTTCTTAATTATCTGGAATTAGTTCTTGTATTATAGTGAAAAAATAGTACTTTTGCTCATATTTTTGATGCATAAAAAGCATAAGAAGTAATAATGTGCTCATTGTAAACGGGATTTAATCCGAGGTCTTAGATAATGTCCAAGACTTCACCAAATGAGCTAGTTAGTTTGGATTTTTCAATATAGTATTGCCATGAAAGTTTTGATATTCTTGCAGTTGTATATTAATTTGAGTTATTGTGTAGATATTATTTTGTTATTTGGAATTAATTGGTTTAAAATAATGGTTTGTGTAATCTTTCAATGTTTAGTTGTTAAATTTAAGGAGAAGTTTGATTCATAGAGCTCAAATGTTAGCTTGATGGACTCATATTGCAATGATGCTTTTCTTGTTATGATTGGTTTATGCAACCTAGTGCACGATTGACTCGTGTTATTATCTCGATTTCGATAGTTTGAGGGATGAAATTTGATTTTTGTGTCTGTTTTTCCTGTGTTTGGTAATGATTATTATAGAAATGGAGATCTTATGGAAATGTTGGTTCTTGATATAATTTCTTGGGTGTTTCTTTTCCCCTTTTTAGCCTAAAGGATTACTCTTGAATTCTGTTTGGTCACACAACGCTATTTTTATAATTGACTCACTAGATGTCATAAGTTCATAACTTCCTGCGTAGTAGCTCAATACGAAAATCTAGTGGGAGCTCAATGGTAGAGCTTCGACCTCCCTAGTCCCTACTAGGAGGTTGGACTTTGGAGGTTCAATCCTCACCACCTCTAAACTCATGGTTGGGTGATATGTTGGTTTAATTGTGGGTACTTTCCGGATCCCTTTCTTTGCCTCAGCCTGTTAGGGGCTGGTGTCAGGTGTCCTCTAGGGACAAGAAAATACAGTAGCTTAATAAAGCTCTCTTGTGAATAATATGGCACTCATGCACCTCTTAATTGTTACAGTGGCACTGGCACAAGATGGATGAAGCAGTTTCAGATAGATATCGCTCTTTCAAGGAGAAATATGACCTTGCTGTTAGTGTGGATGACATCTTCCAAGATCTTCAGCAACAAGCAAAAAAACTCTTTACCAAGGAGGTAGATATAAGTAAATTGATTAGTAGTCACTTAGCTACGAGGGACAAGCATGAATATGGTGCTTGGCTGGATGATGTCAAAAAAATAAAGCGGGATTTTGAGGATATAAAAGAAAGATACATGATTTCGTGCGAATATGGCCAAAGACTTGCTAATTTACCTAGTATTGTGAAGCTTTGTGAAGAGATGAAAATAGTAACTAAGGCAATTGTTGCTCTTAAAGACAGGATGAAACCTGAAACCACCTTGCCGATGAGTAACAGTCCCTCTGAAAAGAAGTCTGTGAATGAATTGGATGACATGGATACATTTCATGATGTTGTAGAAAAGTTGTTGGGTTACTTGAGTGATGACAGTATAAAGAGTATTGGGATTTGGGGTATGTCTGGAGTTGGCAAAACAACAATAATGGAAAACCTGAAATACAAGGTTGAAAAGAACGGCATGTTTGACATTGTAATATGGGTGACAGTCTCCAAAGAAGGGAGTGTTCGTAAAATACAACAGACAATTGCAGACAGATTGAAATTGAATGTTGAGAGCATCTGCAGTGATTATCATCTACCTTTAATACTACGTAATGCTCTGGAAAAAAAGAAGTATCTTGTACTTTTAGATGAAGTATTTACAGAAGTTGATTTACGTGCTGTGGGAATTCTTCGTAGTCATGAGCATGGAAAAATTGTCTTGGCTACTAGATACAGATCCTTATGTGATTTGATGGATGTAGATGAAGATATCAAAGTGGAGAGGATGAGCAGAACAGACGCTTGGAAACTCTTCCGAAAGATTGCTGGTGAAGCAGTAGAGCATCCAACTATCAGGCCAATAGCTGAACGAGTACTGAAAGAGTGTGGAGAGCTGCCACAGCTGATTAAAGTTGTGGCAAGGATGCTCAAAAACAAATTTAGTGAAGATTTATGGCTGAAAATATTGTCAAAGTTGCAATCACCATCAGATCATCAGCTGCAGCCCATGGAAGAAATGTTGAATGTTTTCCGACTAGTGTATGATGGATTAGGTGACAATCTGAAGCGTTGCTTACTATATGGAGCATCATTCCCTGAAGACCATGAGATTTGCCAACATTATTTAATAGAGTGCTGGAAAGCCGAAGGTTTGATTGCTAAGACGCACATGTTTTCAAAGGCACGCCATGAAGGAAGAATTTTACTGGAAACTCTCATAGAGAAACACCTTTTTGACAGGTGTAAGAAGGAGTTTGTGAAAATGCCTCTCATGTTCCGAAAAATGGCACTCAAGTTAGTTGATACAGATACTAACTGGTCATTGCTGGTAAGGCCTGATGAAAAGCTAGGGTATCCTCCAGTTGAACAATGGAGATGTGCCCGAGTAATTTCTCTGATCCGCTGTAACCTACAGTGCTTACCTGAAAAGCCTGAATGCTATACACTCTCTACATTGTTCCTCCAGCAAAATCAAATGCTAACCAGTATTCCACCATCATTCTTCCACTTCATGCCTTGCCTCAAAGTTTTGGACTTGTGTGGTACAGGGATCACTTCATTGCCAAATTCTATTACCGATTTAACCAACTTAAGGGGGCTGTATCTTAATAATTGTCAACAATTGGCAGCATTACCCAAAGAAGTTGGTGAACTCAAAAATCTCGAAGTACTTGAGATATGTCAAACTGGTCTTTGTAGTTTGCCTTCTGATATTGGAGAATTGACCCAACTTCAGTGCTTGAAAGTCTCCTTTATGAGTTCTATGAATCAAGAAAATCCTGATATGGACTTGATCCCTTCTGGTATGGTAAAGAAGCTTTGCTTATTGCAGGAATTAGCAATTGATGTTGATCCTCTCGATACAAGGTGGAATCAAATAGCAATTACGATTGCTAAAGAGGTAGCAACCCTGTCGATGCTGAATAATCTTTCTTTCCGCTTTCCTAGCTTGAAATGCTTGGAAGCTTTTATTGCAAACAGTAGTTCCTGGAACAGCAGCCAATTTCCTCTTACAGATGAGAAATTTAGATCCTTCCGACTAACAGTTGGTGTCCATGTGGTGAATCAACTACATCAGTTGGACATCTCAAAATGCCTGGCTAAACGGCATCTCAAATATTTTGACGGCAAAGACATTTCTCATGCAATCAAGGATGTTCTTAAACGAGTTTGTGCATTTGAGATGGTTGGTCATGAGAGTGTCAAAAATTTGTCAGATTTTGGAGTTGAAAACATGGAGTGCCTGGAAATTTGCATCATTGAAGAGTGTGATAAAATTGGAAAAATTGTGGGTGTCGATGCACCTATGGTTGTTTTGTATCCCTGGCTGAAAGAGCTTCATCTATCGAAACTTCAGAAATTTGAGACTCTCTGGGAGGGATCAGTCTTGCCAGGAAGCTTTGCAAAGTTAAATACTCTTACACTGTATGACTGTGCATATGTGAAAAGGCTGCTCTCCATTGAAATGACCAAGCATCTCCGAGACCTGCAATACTTGAGAATTGAGAGATGCTCTCAGCTTACTGAAATAATTGCAGCTGAGCATCCAGAGCTTGCCTTGTCTCTGATGGTGGACTCATCTGGCACGCTTCCTTCCCTGAAAAAGCTGGAACTCATTGGTTTACCAAGTCTTGTCAGCATCTATGGTGATAATTCATTTGAGTGGCTTTCTCTTCAAAGAATCGAAATCATTGCATGCGAAAGGTTGACTGTATTACCTTTCAGTGGTACAAATGCATTGCAATTACAATCCATTCACTGCGGTGAAGCTTGGTGGGAAGCACTGGCAATGCAGCATGAAGTGAAAGCTCGGCTACATGAACATTGCTGTTTCATCTGATGATATCATGGAAACTTTCTGCAGCCTTCTTTCATCTATGCAAATTGAAATTTCTTTCATAAGCCCTTGTTTATCTAAACTGCTATGCTAACTTCAGCTATCACATCCTAATAATATGCTCGTTGTGCTGACTTGACGACTATGAGAACCCTCAATCATGAGTATATGTTTCTGCTTTCTGAGTGCTCACTGTGAACTGCTGTCTAATGCCCGCTACATATGGAGAAAACCTACCTCACATCCATCTACACCTCATTTGAATCCACCAGCATTTCATATAGCTCTCTGTCGTGTTGCCGCTGCCAGCCTCACTTTGTTTCTCAGCCTCAGGGGACATCCTTTGGAAGCCATGATCATGGCTGCTTAGTTTTTCTCCTACATGCTTTCTGTTCTATTGCTCCATCACCACCATCATCATTCATCTTCTTCCCCATTCTCCGCAGTCATATTTATCAAGCCTGTTGTCATGCTCAATATGTATGTGGCATCAGCAGACAAATTAGAAGCACTCCATAGCAGCTCTTTGGACAAGAAGATTATAAAGTGTGAATATTTAAAGACACTTCGAAGTGAACAGAAGATTTCAGTCCAAGGTATCGTCTTCTTTTTGGTATAATTCCTTCCAGTTTCTGTAAATTTGGCACTTATATATTGCATTCCTTGCAGATATCCTTGTTTTCCCCATACATTAAGATCCTGTCACCTCGCCATATCTACTGTTAACATCAAATGAGGACCATCCAAAAGAAAACTGTTCACATCAAATGAAACACGAAGGAAAGAAAGGGCATACTGTGCTGATTCTTAACTAAAGGCATGTTTGGTCCAAGGCTGGTTAAATTAAGTGCTGTTCTTCAGGTAGCTTGCTTCTTACTATTTACGAACTGTATTTACTTGGTCTATTGGATTCTTTACTGATGATTCAGATAAAATCTGAATGATGTTCAATTTGCTGGAAAGAAAGAAAAAAAAAAATAGAGTTTCTGGCAGACATTATTAATACTTTCCCCTCACCTTCCACGCACTCCTAAAGACCAGCAAATCATATTCTTGTAGGAAGAAATAAGATTATTGTGATTTTCCAAAGAATTATAATGGCATACTTCTATTTGTCAACGGATGCATCAGTGTGATTTAACATGTAGAGGAATTCTAGGACTCTAACTGTTAGAGTCATAAGACTCTATAAGGGGCATAATCGTCCATTCACTTTTACCTTACTTGAAAAAAATAATGTCATAACACATGTTGGTATTTCATTATACTTTAGATAGTATCACCGTGATACATTGATACCAACCACCTTATTCAATGATACCAACGAACATAAAATTGTTTTGTTGGTATCGATATAATTTGTTGTTGGTATCATGTGAAATACCAACGTGTGCTGTAAGAGTCCAAGAATTCCTCTAACATGTAACATAGTTTAGTCAACTTTAATTGATAAACTAGTTTTATGTCCGGATGATTCCCAAGTTAATTGAGCTAGTTTAATAAAGTGAATTGCTACTTAAGACAATAGAATTACTCAAGGTATGGTATCAAATGACCTCCATGCCACCTTTAATTTTAACAAAGACATAATCATCCAACCACCACTAACCAACACCATCTTGACCACCAGCTTCACCATCGTGACCATGACTCTCCACTACGTTGACCACCCATTCCACGAAGGCTGACTATTAGAATTGTACTTTCCTGCCACCTGAAAAAGCTGACGATAGATGCACTTAGTGGAGACGACGAACCTTCAATAACGTCTCAGACATAGGTCTAATTCGAACTTTTTTGTACATAGTGTGGCGTGGTTGGTTGCATGTAATAGGCGACCACCACCATGATACGATTGCCTGTAATACGCAACCACACCATGGTGTAGTTGCATATTAAAAGCAATCGTACCATGGTAGTGGCCGCCTATTACAAGTGGTTTTTTTTTTAAAAATAAAATAAAATATGACTAATTAATTAATTTTGTATATTTGCTCAAATAAAAAAATCGTCTTATGTTTTTAAAAAATTAATTTTGTGTATAATAATTCATTTAATCAACAAAATAACAAACTATGTTAAATTAATTTTGTGTGCCAATTAATAAATTTAATTTAATTAATAAATAATTTTTGAATTGACATGTAGCTATAATTTTTATTTGAATGTCATTTTTCGTATATTTATGAATATTTTTAGTTTAAAATTTGTGTATTAAATTAAAATAATATTAAATTATATTTTTTAAAAAAAACTTTGAAATTATAAGTTTTCCATTGATGATTTTGGCCGATGGCGATGGGGTAAATTATTATCCACTTTTTCAGACTGAACAATTATTTCCGATATACAAAGATTTGTCGAAATGGCAAAAGACATTGCAATAATACTCAAGTTTCAGATTGTACATATATGTCTACGACCACAATGGATGGTTGTATTTGCGTTGTAATGGCGGTGCTAAAGGAAAAATAGAGATATTATTGTTGCGCAACGACCAAACACAAATAAACTCAATATTGTGGGTGCAAGTTTAATTTTTTATCAAGGGATTCAAATAAAGTGTCCGATGATGATGGATGGCAGCCAAGGCAGGTTGCCTTTGGTTCCAATGAATTTGTTAAACACAATTATGAGCTAATTGTCTATGAAGAAGACAATCAACAAATGAGCAAGCTAATTAGTTCGGGTGCAAAACAACTTGTTCGTGACAGATGTAATAACTTCAAAATTAAATCGCAATATATACATGCATGGGAATAACACTGATTTATTTAATGTTTATGATATATTAAATATTTAAATGTTAATATAGGTGTTTCCCATGAAGTGATGCAATTGATACTCCCTCCGTCCCCGATTGATAGTCACTTATGCCATTTTTGGGCACTCAAAATGTTAGTCACATTTGCTTTTTTCAAGTACCATTAATATTATTTTTTGGGTTTTTCTATACAGTGCCCCTAAGGTATTGACTTTTCGAAGCTGTACCCACCCATTTTCATAATTCCACGCTGTACCCCAGGGTACCTTTAGTATCTACGATGTAACCCCAGTTAAATTGCCGTTAACTATTGCCGTTAGTTTATATGTTAAAACTCAGCTCTCACGACCCACCACCCACCGACACACCCCAAGCTAAGCCACCTACAAGCCGAACCCCACCAGCGATCCCTACCATCACCCATCACAGCCCCACCACCACAGGCCCACCACCACCTAGTGCACCTCCAAAGAAAGTGTAAGAAAGCAATGGAGGAATTTAATTGGAATTAAATTTCGACAAATTGGTTTAGGGCTTTTGTTTCATTGGATTCAAATTGCAAAATTAAGTTTTTAATTTTTATTTTCGTTTTAAAATCAAAGAATTTGGTTCAAAACAATATAAACCCTAATTTTCCCCCAATTTGATTTTAATTGTTAAAACATCAATTTCGGTTCAATTAGATTGAGATTAAATTCACAAAACTTGTTTTAATTGATTGTTCCAATGAAAATATGCACGAATATGGTTTAATTGGTCGAAAATTTGGGCATGAAGAACGAAAATCTGGGCATGAAGCTAAAAACGACGATGGAGATTAGGGTCGAGGAGTTGAGAGAGAAGGGAGAAGAGGGTGACGCACGCGGTGGTGGGTCGAGGAGAGAGGAGCGTAGCTTTTGGGGGTGCGGCTGGAGGTGTAGTGGTGGGTAGTTGTGAGGGAGGAGAGAGAGGTGTTTGGGTTTTTTTTTTTTAATTTATTTATTTTGAAGTTAACAGAAAGTTAACTTCAGTAAACGGAGGGATTAGCTAGGGTAGGGTTAAATCGTAGACACTAAAGGTACCTTGGGGGTACAACGTGGAATTTTAAAAATGGGTGGATATAACTTGGAAAAGTCAATACCTCAGGGGCACTATAGAAAAACTCTTTTTTTTTTTACCAAAATTCTCTAACTCCCGTTATTTTCTTCAAAAGTGACACAACAAATAAATTATTGTGAATTATTTTTACTCCGTACTATATTTTTTAGACTAATTCGTATTCGGGGATCAGTTCTGGACTTCTGGGTGATTAACACGAGTCCTCCCTACCAAGTGTAGTCCCATTCACCACTACACCAACAACCAATTGATACTCCGTACTATATACTTGTGCAGATAAATAAGACATGCATGATTTGTTTGCAACTAAGATAATAATTACAAATAGTCATGCAGCAATTAAAAAATAATAATAATAATAATAATAATACTAATAATTTACAACGATTAAACATTTTCTTTTCACGCAGTCACACTTAATATCAAATCATTGCAAATAAAGAGAAAAAGAAGACAGTAATAAAAACGAAGACCATCCTCATAGAGATTATTGAGGTTGTACAATCGGTATAATGTCTGTTCTGATTGGGAATCGGAAAACTGTCTAACAGTGGCAGCAATGCGAGTGCTATTAGACTCTGAGGCAATTGCCAATCTGTTCTGATTGGGGATCGGAAAACTGTCTTACAGCGGTAGCAATGCTGGTGCTGTTAGACGCTGCAGCTGTAGCACGCAGCTGTTTCAAACCTTTAACCATTTTACCTTCTACAACTTTTAGGCACTCCCTGATCTTCCTAACCTCATCGAGCTCGTTTGGAAAGCATTTGCCACGCCGTAATAACTCAGAATTATGCTTATCAAAGAATTGATTTAATGACAAAAAATTTTCCACTGCATCGTTTATTTCGTCTAAATTCTCCGCCTTAAATATCTCAAAAATAGATTTAGTTCCAGAAAAATAAATACTGTATAAGAATTGCCTATTTGGGCAGCTTGTACTACGCTGCGCCTGAGCTGCAACATGTACATTATTATTATGACTGCTTATTACCACAATTAGTATTACTACTAACATCCCTACCATCTTATTGCTTTGTTTTTTTGCCCCCATTTTTTATTTTTCTACTGATTTCTAAACTACATTACACCTTTATCATACGAAGTATATATATAAGGACTTCTTGACTCATTCTCTCACGAGTTAATTAATTTGATTGTTTGTTTATTTTTTTATTAAGCCCAACGGTTTTACGTTGATTTTTCACCCTTTTTTAATTATAGAAAATAAATTAGCCAACAAAATGACTAAGATAAGAATATGAATAAAAGAAATTTTTTCCTAGTCATCAATCAATCAATAACTTATATATTAAAAGACACACTAACAATGACACGTGTCATTTTTTAATGTGTCCTTCAGTTTTTTTTTTTTTTGAATAAATTTCAATTAAAGAAATAAATGTTATTTACAAAAAGTCCATAACCTTACACAATATAATTACTTAAAATAAAAAAATTGACATATCTTTAACAAAAATATTTATATAGCTATAAACAAAATTCTTAACATAAATTTGCTCATTTTCTACGTCTGTTATTATCTAACATATCTTTCGTAATCCTTTATTTTCCTCAAAATTTGTCAACTATATTTTTAGAAATTTTTTTGTTTATAAAAACTAATTATAATGATAGTTTTATTATGGTTATTGAAGATTACCGTGCATGGCACGGGAACTAACCTAGTCTTTATCCTAAGTAATTAACCATACGACTGTTAAAATAAATATTAAGTCTTGTGTGCGGCTGGCCACACCATATTATCACTTGTAAAAGAACTAAGTAAAACCTAAAACACTAAATGAGTAACCCTATAAAATTGAATGAGTGTCTGCTATATCACTAACGAAATAACTCTCAAGGCCACACCGTGTGGCCAACCACAGATGTAAAATAAACACTATTAACATAAATCAAATAAAGAAAAATTATCAAGAACTTAAAAAAAAAAAAGCAAGAAATTAACCCCCCAAGAATGATTTCTTGATGTTTGATACGCATCAAGTATCGTACAATATAAACGTTAGAGTTGTTGATAACTATCAGTTTGTTCTTCGTAGTAGCAAATAGTAATGCTCACTAAACCATGTTAGCCTTTTGTGTGAATTAATTAAGTTTTTTAGTGAGGGTATGTACAATGGGTTATTGCATACGGACCCTTACGACAGTGCCTCACGTACATGATGCACGCAACATGACTAGTCATTCATTATAGAAGAGTAATAGAATT